GAAAATATTTTCCCATCAAAAAGGCGTGAAAACATTTTCATCAAAAACCCGGAAATTGCACACGTTTAGGGAAAATCCGAAAAATATTTTCCGTGGAAAATTTCGTCTATCAAACAGCCAAAAAAGTGGAAAGTGGAAAATATTTTCCTACTTCCCCGAAAAATGTGGCCTATCAAACACGACCTTAGTCTTTATTTGACTTGAGACGACTTGAGAAACTTCATTGAAGTCAGTTAGAATGGGAGATGATATATTTTGTATTCTGTGTTTAGCTAGGAAGTAATATGGTAATTAGAGTAGATAGTTTTCATTTCTTTTGTATATATGATTGATTTGTATAGAATAAAATCAATACATCCAATTTATCAATTCTCAATGAAGCCCCATTTTTGTTTTTTTTTGCTAAAATGCATTTTAGAATAGTGTTTTGTTGGAGAATGTGTGGTTAAAAAGTAAGGGAAAAATTTCGATTTACGTGTAAAATTATTTTATAGGAGAATGTGTAGTTGAAAATGAGTTTTGAAAAAATGGGTGCCAAACATACTCTTAAGTTGTCTAGCATTCTTCTCATCTTTTAACTGCCGCAACCCTTGTCAAATCTTGATGGTAAATTTCTTTAAATTGGGTGCAGAGTGGAACCCTTGGGGTGTTCCCGACGACTATGAATGTGAAGTTATTGAGAATGATGCTCCAGTGCCTAAGCATGTCCCCCTGCATCGACCAGGTCCTCTTCCTGAGGAGTTCTATAAGACATTGGGGGCTGTTACCACTGGCACCTTAGAGGATGCTGTTTCACGCTCCAAGGATGAGCCTGCAATTACCTCAGGCGAATCACAATCAAAATAGCGTGCTTCTGATCCCATTAGTTGTTGTCGAGCAACTCCAAGGTTTTCACTTAAAATCTAAATGTGTTTTCCATGTCAGGTTTGTCATCTCTTGTTTACAATATTTGAAATTGTTCTGTTTAAAACTTGTTTGATCGGCATTTAATTAGGATTAAGAACCCATGAAATGAAAAAAGCTCGAGTTTTTAGTTAATAATTTCAAGTTGACTTGGGTTTATGTTTACTATAGCATCTGGTGGAAATAAAACAACATATGTTGGGTGTGTGCTATTTGCCATAAAGTAGCAGGTCTAACACTCTTATGGATTGATAATCAGCATGCTATAGCAAATACAGTTATGTATTAATTTTTGCTAAATTCAAAAGATAAATAGAGATGCATAATACATCAAGCAACAATAATGATTAACGTCATTATTGATGTTTGTTAGTGGTGGTGGAGCCACCGCCATAGTAGACCATTCCCCCTGAATGGTCTGGTCCCGTACCCGTCTGGCTCATCAAGTATGCACTACACAGCAATAATGATTACCTGCCCACGAATTTTACACAATAAAACTCATTTGATGGCACCAAGGCTAACACATATCTGCAACAAATGAGTTCCATATAATGAACAATATCATATTAACCCATTATGTTAGATATCATGTGTGGAATGAGTCAAATTTCAAACTTATACAGCCATGCTTTTAAAAGTCAAAAATGAGCTTCGGAGATCAAAAAATTGTTTTTGGACCCGCTTGACAAATTCTACGAAAATATTTTTTCTAGTTAGAAGAATTTTTAAAGAAAGTTGGTTCAATGTGACTTTCTCTAAAAGCATTTTCGGAATAGAAAGTCCTTTTAAAAATTCCAATGCAGAATGTAATTCATTTTTGGGGATTATGCAACATATGATATGACCGAAAACATGTTCTTTATAAATTGGTGGAATGTGCTCATAACACACCATTTTACAATAAATATGCAAACAAAACACGTAAAAATGGCGAATTTATCGTTCTTCCAAATAGAACATGACACAGATAATCTTGGTAAAGCATTTCTTCAGAGTTGATATCTTAAGGCAGCGACACGGATTAGCAGAACCTTCGCGACTACTAGTTTCAACTGGAGATATAGATTGATGGTAGGGAATGTTTTGCAATAACTTGAACCGAACTAGAATAAAACTCGAACCGAACCTGAAACAAAATCTGCATAAGACAAAAATTACTTATAAATAAAGTCTTTTGTAAGTAAAAAAATTCACTTATATATGTAAAAATGGTTTAAAAGTACATAATTAACTTATAAATGTAAAGTTTACTTATAACTGAAAAAATACTAATTTAAACTTTTAAATAAATATTTAATTTTATTGAACTTTTTAAGCTAAATATTAACTTGTATGTGAAAAAATTATCTACAAGTAAAATATCACTTGTGAGAAAAATTTTTAGACTATAAACTGAAAATTTTACTAAGGAACATATATATAATTTTATTATTTAAAAAACTTTCAGAACCGATAGATAATAAACTTTCAAGCACGAGTTGGTTTATTTTTAAAACTTCTACTAAAATTACTCAAAATCGATCAACTCATAAATGCTCAAAACTAGAACTTTAAGGTATCCAAACTTGCCTCCACGATACATTAGTATGGATCAAAATATTTTTCGGCGTTTATGCACTTAACGACGATAAAGTTAGAGAAACTCAATCTTAAGACCTAACATTGATAACACTAAAAACAGGTATTTGGGTTACAAAACACTGAAAGCATGTATTGGGTTACAAACACATTATCTAATTAGAGATGATGGTGCATTGATTATTGAAAACAGATTTTGTATTCCAGAATTGAAGAAAGAGATTTTGGAAGAGGCGCACATTTCAGCTTATGCTATGAACCTAAGTAGTATTAAATATATCAAACCTTGAGTGTAATGACATGAGCCTTTATATCCAATCCATTAACTTACGTATTCTGAGAGGACGCCGGCCCTCTTACCCTTTACAATTTTTGATTGTGTCTCATATGTTTTGAATATAAGATTTCTGCGTTATGAGAGACTTAAGTTGTATCATAATTCCCTAAAACATACAATACGTAAGTAAGTGGCTTGGCATAAGCTCGAATCATTACAAAAAATTCGCATTTTTTTTTTTGTAAAGATCCAAAGCTTATGTCGAAGACGTTATATTATACGTATTATCCACATTAGTAAGATTCAACTTAAATCTCACATAAGATAGAAATTTCATGCTCGAATCTTGTTGACACGACATAAAGTCGTGGGAGATAAAATGGGCACATACTCTCCCAAAGCGGACATTACATAAGTTAACTATTTGGACATAGATGCTCAGATCGTTACATTGAGAAAGTATTATTGGTGGCTAAGTATGAAGAAAGACAACAAAGTTTATATCCAACAAGTTTTAAAGATGAATTTTGTGAAGTAAACTATGGAGAATATAATTGCATTGATTGATTTGGGAGTTAGAATTACATCTATTATAGCCAAAGATTTCGAACAATTTGAAAACCCAACCACTTTTTCTTGACATACCGCATTGGGTAATTTTGGTACCAATTTTTTTGATTGGATGATGGAGTTTGGGAATAGGAATAGATGTTGAATGATATGAGCTGTAATTGTTTGCAAAAATTCGGGTCAAAACATTTCAAAATGCATTGAAGTAAGAGAGACTTTACTTGAGCATAAGATGTTCGATGAAATTCTCCAATGAATCAACCGAGTTTATTTTTGCACCAAGTTCGCATGACACATTTTTGCATTGATATGCAATAATAGTTGTGTGAAAATCTTGTCACTTGCATTGGAATTGGGACATTTTTGGCACAAACGCAGCTCGAGGAATGCATGGGGATTCATCCCCCCTGCATCCCTGTTGCGTCCCCTACCTGCGCCCTGCCTACGTCCCACATTTTCGTTCCCCTCCGTTTCCTATTTTTACATATAAGCTTGATTTATTTGAGTTTTATTAATTGATTATGGGTTGCTAATGTGCTCATCGATCTTCATTATAGGAAATATGGCACAAAAAATTCAAGGCACATTCAAAAGAGGAGAAAAATAAAAAGGAAAAGAGAAGTGGGTCGAAGATTATTCGAATTCCAACATCTAATCCACCATCCTCTTAAAATCCGGCGAGTATTGGCTTCTTTCTCTTTAATTTAAGTTTCTATACTTTTGATTGTAAATTGCCCTACATTATGTAAGAATTCAGTTTGGAGGGTGTAGTTTAGTTAATTTGCGATAATTGTTTGTGCTATACATAAAAAAAGTGAAAATCTGAAAATATTTTCTTATATTATATGTGCTTGCATGAATTGAATAGCCTTCCCGGCTATGATTAGGATTGTTTGGAATTAATCATGATGCGTAAATTATTTATATGGGGTGCAATTTATTTTTTATTTTTGATACTTTTTCATGTTAGATCGTATAATATTGAGCATAATAGTCATAATAATTATTATGAATTTTTGGATTGTTTATCTTGATAGAATAGGTTAAATTAGTTTTGCACTTAGGTTGACAAATCGAGTTCATGATTAAAAACTGTTGACCCCAAAAAATGTTGCCAACAGATGCCGGGCCCACTCGTGCACACGTAAGCTTAATCCAACACGCTAATGCCGATCGACGGTCATGAGGACTCCAGAGAATGAGCGTGGGAGTAGCAAAAAGG